AACTACACCAAGGCATGGGCTGAGAGAGATGTGGCCTAGAGTGATACAATATCCTTGTCTTTAGCGTTTAGCATATTAGACAGAATATTAACCAAAACCACCTTGCATTTAGGCATGTTGTTGAAACAAGATGTTTCAGAATGACAGAGATAAAAGAAAAGGAATTTTACTGGAGTAGCGATGCAAATTAACTATAGTTTGTTGCTGATGGTGGCTTGTGATTTCTATTAATGCTTCCTGTCCACTGCTTCTTTTTTCCCTTTCCAAAGAATTATTCCTGATAGTTTTGGAAGATTATGCTAAGAGCTGTAGCAGACAGAGTGGGAAGGGGGGAAATCAGTTGCCCTGACTCATCCCTGGATCTATTTTCTAGTAAAGTAAAACCAGTGCTGATTATATCCAATATATACTTGAATGAAGCTTATTAGAATCTATGTAGAAGGTACTGTAGAAATTATCTAGAAGCAAACATGATACCCAGTTTTGCCTGATTTACAACAGATCACATATTTCTAATAACCTTTCCTTGGCATCTGGAATAATATCATGTTTCCAATTTGTTGGTATAATTCTTTTTGCCATTCTCATGGTCAATACAATCAGAGTGCCTGATAAACAATCAAATTCCAAAGGTTTGGTATTTAATTGAACATTAACACCTTTAATATTTAAAGACTTTCCCATAAATCTACTATACTTTAATTTACAATGCCAAAAAGATACTTAATGGTCACCTGACTATATTGTGTGGATCAGAGAGTCTCAAATTTCTTACATCTTCAGCAAAAATAAAACTGGTTTCTATCCTTACAAATGCATTGTTTGAAGAGGCCAATGTACCCTAAATACAGTTTTTGATAAATCAACCTTAATCTCAAATCTGTACGTACCATTTTAACATTTTAAGGTCCTGAGGCCATTGCTAATGTTATAGTTACACTGTAAACTCATTCTTGATATATTTTAAAAGAAATTATTGTACTTATGCTTGTGTGGTCCTAATCAGTGAAATGTGTGGTTGGAAGCTTTTTTTATTGCTGCTGCTGTGGTTATAGAGATTGTCAGAGAAAATATATCCTTACTAGCTAAAGTAATTGTACTTATTTTAAGCACTCTGGGAGTATATTATGACTAGTAATGGATCATGAGAAAGTTTTAATAGGTACTCTGAGAATAGCTGTAATGATATAATCTAAGCTGAATTCTGTTAAGGCAAAATTGCTCTAAAGATGAATTTTTTACAGATTAAATTAAACCCTCTTCTATATTCAAATACTACATTTCACAAAGAAGAAAGTTTTAGAGGACTATATTTGATAGAGGACTATATTTTGTTTTAAAAGAAAACTATTTTTCATTTTATCCTGATTCAGTGAAAATATTTTTGGGCTTATGTAGTCAAATGCTAATACAATAGTGTCAAAAATCTGTAGCTCAGATGTAGAATGAGGATAAAAGTTCATTCTCCGAGCTTGTGGGTTGGTTTCCAAATATTTTGTTACCAGGCTCGGCAACATCTTCAGCAGAGTTTAGGGGTACTTTAGGGGTGCTAGTACTTTAAAGTACCTTATTTCAGGTAGATACTTAAGCATTTATATTTGGGTTAGTATCAGAACTGTAACATGATTAATTCTAAAATGTGCTCCCAGCGCTGCAGAGATCTCTTCAAATGAATTTTAACATAATGGCCTTGTTTGTATTACTTAACTGGGCCATGGGATATGTAAGTCATATAAATTCCAAAATTGAATTAACTGACCAAGGGAATTAACCCAGAGGTTAGATTTAGCACCACACAGATCCAGTTTAATTACCCTCTTGGGTTAATCATGATATCCCTGGAGTCTTGTAAACTACTTTATGGAATGTTAACTGTTCCCTTTGACATCCTAGACAGGCTCTACAAAATAAGGGCTTCTCTCTCTCTCCCTCCCTTCCCCCCCCCCCTCTCTCTCACACACACACAGAGAGAGAGAGAGAGAGAGAGAGAGAGAGAGAGAGAGAGAGAGAGAGAGAGAGAGTCATCATATGAGATTTATAAATGGGCAAGGAGCATGGCTTCTCTGAAGTAATACTCATCCCAGTTGCACCCTTGTACAATTAAAAAAAAAAAATCTCTCCAGGGGAAAAAATAAAAGGGAAATGGAGAACCTTGACAACCTTCTAGCCTACATTCTACTGGCTGGGATAACTAAAATGTGATCCTCAGTTGAGAAAAGGTATCCAAGATTTTGTGGGCTTGTGTTTTTAACTCTGACTTGGAGAATAGTGTGATATATACAAGACTTAAAAAAAACCCCTTCTGCTTGGCTAATATTTATATCTGAGATACATCAAATATCCTTGGATCAAACATTTTTTAATATCCTTTAAGCATCTTCTAATGTTCCTATTGTTTTATATTAAGTTTTATATTATTCTAGGTTGGCCAAAGTCGCTTGATAGTGAGATGAATGGCATCTAAATTTAATAAATGAATAGGTTATAAATAAAATTGCAACATAGCAGCAGTATTTGAAAGGTGGTGTTTTTTTCCCTAGCACCTTCAATCTGAAAGAAAAAAAGGTAGGTAGGTATAGTAGATAGATATAGATAAATAGATATCCCGATAAGCTAAAGCCCAATTAAAACTAAGTAAGCTGATATACATATATATATTAGATGAAGAAATAATCTGTATCTCCTCAACATCCCTGGTAATTCCACATGCAGCTGGGTATTAAAACAAGTTTATTTCTGAAAAAAAAAAGCCTTTGGGACTTGTGTGATAATCAGAGGCATGTTGTCAATAAAAATAATGTCTGAGGCTAACACTTCATTTTTCAATATGCTAGGGTATGTATATATTTATGTATGTATGCATGCATTTGAGAAATCTAATAAAGTCACTTGTGAAGGCCAAGAGAAATTTCATTTGGTATATAAGGTCACATTGATAATGTAGGGACAATGTTGTTTTGTCTTTAGTAATTTTGTTTGTTTGTATGCTGCCTGCATTATTTTTACAAATAACTCCAGGTGGCAAACATATCCACCATACCTTCCTCTTCCTATTCACAACATTTTCCGTTATGTGCAATCTATTTTCAAATAAAGTTTTAAAAGTTAAAAAAAAAAAAGCTTGCACAATGTGAACTGCTTATTCTATGAACGAAAACAATTTCTTTCTGGTTACCATGTCAAATTAAGGAAATCTTTGAAAAAAAAATGCTGATTTGCCAAACTAGCTTAATGTGAAATTTGTGCTGATGAAGGAAAACTGACTTGCATATTTTGCAACATTTCTAAGAAACTTTTGTCAGGAAATTTAAAATATAAATGAAATTGGTGATTATAACTATAAAGGTACTAGGATACCCTAGTAAAACGGGTTCACCATTGGAAAACCTGAAGGATTAGGTTGAAGTAGAGCAGTGGTTCTCAACCTGTGGGTCGGGACCCCATTTGGGGTTGAACGACCATTTCACGGGGGTCACCAAACAAGGCTGTCCGCCATTTTTTCCCCCTTTTCTTTTGCCATGCCCCTGGCACCCGGTGATGTATAAGTGGTTGGGGGTCACCACAACATGGGGAACTGTATTATGGGGTCGCGGCATTAGAAAGATTGAGAACCACTGAAGTAGAGCCTCTTGGAGAAATCCACCTATGTGGTTGATAAGAAAATCAGCACTGAGTTGGTGTACAACAGTGTTTCCCAAACTTGACAATTTTAAGGCATGAGGACTTCAACTCCCAGAATTCCACAGCCAGCAACGCTGGCTGTGGAATTCTGGGAGTTGAAGTCCACATGCCTTAAAATTGTCAAGTTTGGGAAACACTGGTGTACAAGTACAAATACTTAAGGAAGTGATTAGAGTCAAATGTTAACTATCACACTTTGAAATATTCAGAACTGTAAACTATCTAATGCCAAGATACGCTGTGTGTTTGGAATACCACTGACAATTTAGCATCAGTTTTTAAAATGTAATTTTAGATAATATCTTAATATCAAATTCATTGCTGTTTTGGGGACAAGATATCTTGTATCATGTGATTAGGTCATTTTTTGGGGTAAATAACTATTAGCTGGAAATTATAAGTTCTGTACTGCAATATGTAGGAGGAGAGTGTTGATGTGGACACTGCTTAAATGCTGAACCTGATTTAGGGCAAGCTTCTTGACTACTTACTTTTTCTCAACGTTTTTTGGGAAAGAAAGATACCAAAGCCGAAGTTAAAATACTTTGGATACTTAATGAGATGAGAGGATTCATTGGAAACATTCCCTGATGTTGGGAAAAAACTGAAGGCAAAAAGTGAAGGGGACAACAGAAGATGAGATTATTAGATAGTGTCACTGACATAATGAACATGAATTTGGGCAAATTTGGGGAGGGGGGGGGCTGGTGTGCTATGGTCCATGTAGTTGCGAAGAACTGGACTTGACTTAGTGATTGATCAACAGCAATATATGTTGGGGTGAACCCTTTCCCAAACTGCTTTTGTCAGATTACTTTTAGCAAGTCAGATAACTTGACAGTTATGTATGTTGAGTCTTGTAGTTTTATGCTGAGATCCAAGAAGTGATTTTCATTTCAGATACGCTGCATAATGAACATGTTTTTCATCTTCATTACATTAAATGGGCTGGATAAATCTTTTGATGTGAGTAAAAACATAAATTCCCACCCTGAATTTCCTGCACTAGATTAATTGTATAGTATTATACCTAGATGGGTTTTCCTAATTAGTGGACAGAAACGTTATAATCTCTCTCATTCCGGTAAAAAAAAACAGGATAATGAACTGCCATTTGGGGACTTGCATCAGGTCAAAGGAATTCTGGAGAGAGAAAAAAGTAATGTGTTTAGTTTATGGGATTCAAAACCAATTATTAAAAGGAGTACAACTATAATAAAACCTTCCTTTGTGGGAATTACTCCAGCAAAACATGTATGGCAGTACTTGTTTCATTCTGAAAGTAACAATCATTGAAACTTTCTTTTTTAATTGTATAGGTGGTGAAGGTAGCCAATGGCCTCCTAAGAAATGGAAGACCTTGTTGAAGCTGAACGAAGTCTTGCAGTCACAACAAAATGTTCTGAAAAAAATGTATAGTATTGCAGCTAATTTATTTCACTGAAACAATTTTGGAATGCCCTATATCTGACACCACTGACACTCAAATATAACTATCATAATAAAAAAAAACATCAGATTCTCAAATACTTCGAAGAAGGAATTTGAAGGATGCCATCCATCACAAGAAATTCAGGTAATATAAGCAAAAATACCTATAAAATAAGTTATCACTTAAGTTGCCATTGATTGACAGATTTAAGTGGTCAAAGACAGCAATGTATGCACATTAGTGAGCAAACTGTGTTAAAGGCAGGGGGATTAAGTATGAATAGATTTTTGAGGGATTAACCTCAAAGTAAATCCCTTTACGTAAATATGCTATTACCAAGTGTCGCTAAATTATTTTTCTATGATATTTACAATTATTATTATTACTTTGCTGAAATACGGGTCTTTTATCTTTAGAACTCTTCCCTGAGGAGGAATATTTAATTAGGGTTTTAAAATCATAGGGTTGGAAGGGACTTTGGAGGTCTTCTTGCTCACTTCCTTGCCCAGTATAGCAGTCCTCATATCATCTTGAACAAATGATAGTTCAGTTTCTTCTTAAAAACTTCCAGTGTAGGCTGTTCCCACAAGTTAATAGCTCTCATACTTGGGAAATTCTTCCTCAAGTTTGGATCTTTCACTGTAAAGAACTGATTAGATCACTGGATTTTTGCAATTGAGATCTTTTATTTTAAAGAACCCATTGGTTCTTGTCCTGTCTTCATGTTCTCTGGAGAATAAATCCGCAATCTCTTTCCATAAGTAGGAAAACAGCTATCATGTCTCCCCTTAACCTTCTCCTCTTTAGGCTAAACATACAAAGTTCCTTCAACCATTCTTCACAAGAACAGAACAGAACAGAACAAAATAACAGAGTTGGAAGGGACCTTGGAGGTCTTCTAGTCTAACCCTCTGCTCAAGAAACCCTATACCATTTCAAACAAATGCTTGTCCATTCTCTTCTTAAAAACTTCCATTGTTGGAGCATTCACAATTTTTGGAGGCAGGTTGTTCCACTGATTAATTGTTCTAACTGTCAAGACATTTTTCCTTAGTTCTAGGTTGCTTCTTTCCTTGATTATTTTCCATCCGTTGCTTCTTGTCCTGTCTTCAGGTGCTTTGGAGAATAGCTTGACTCCCTCATCTTTGTGGCAACCCGAGATATTGGAACACTGCTATCATGTCACCCCCAGCCCTTTTCATTAAACTAGACATACCCAATTCAAATAATTGTTCATTATATGTTTTAGCTTTCAGTCCCCTAATCATCTTTGTTGCTCTTCTCTGCACATTTTTCTAGAGTCTCAACATCTTTTTTACATCACAGTAACCAAAACTGGATGCAGTATTCAGAGAATGGCCTTTCAAAAGAATTGTAAAGTGGTATTAATACTTCATGTGATCTTGATTCTATCCCTCTGTTAGTGCAGTCCAGCACTGTGTTGGCTTTATTGGTAGCTGCAGCACACTGCTGGCTCATATTTTCGTGACTGTCCACTAGGACCCCAAGATCCCTCTCACAGTTGCTACTATTGATCCAGGTACCACCTGTACTATACCTGTGCATTTGGTTTTTCTTGCTTAAATATAGAAGTTTACTTTTTTTCACCATTGAATTTCATTTTGTTAGATAGGACCCAATGTTCAAGTCTGTCAAGATCCTTCTGTATCTTGAGCCTATCTTCAGAGTGTTGGCTGTTCCTGCCAACGTGGTGTCATCTGCAAATTTGATGGGTTCCCCATCTATCCCCTCATCCAAATCATTGAAGATGAAGATGTTGAAGAGTACTGCATACTTAAAAACTAACCAACTGTATACTTTCCTCCATGTAGATACAGTTCCATTGAGGACTACATGTTGAGTGCGGATGACCACCAGTTACGAATCCACCTGGTGATGCTGTCTAACCCATTTTTCTATCTTATCAAGTTGTAGATTTTGGTTTACTTTTTCAAATGCCTTACTGAAGACCAAGTAAATTATATCCACAGAATTTCCCTGGTCCATTAATTTTGTCAATTTATCAAAGAATGCAATAAGATTGGTCTGGCATGGTTATGACTTTGTTTGCCTTTCTACGTGTTCACAGATTTGTTGCTTGATTATATTTTCCACAATCTTCCCACGTATTAATGTTAGGCTAATAGGTCTGTAGTTTCCTGAATCTACCTTTTTGTTTTTTGTTTTTTTAGGTTTAGCTTCCTAGCACTTTAGCACTTCGTTTTCTGCACTCTTTTCAGTTCCTCAGTTCTTTTCTGTATTGTGGAGGCTGGAATTGGATGCAGTATTCCAGGTGTGCTGTGATCAATGGAACACAAAATATTGTTTTCTATTGTCTTGATATTATAGATGCAGTTAAAAAAAACTGCACTGGCTTTTCTGGCACCTGTGCTACTTTGCTAACTCATGCTTAACTTATTGTCTACCAAGATAACCAGATCTTTGTCTCAAGTACTATTGCTAAGCCAGGTAACATCTATCTTGTATGTGTGCATTGGTTTTCTTGTATAAATGCACACCCTAACATTTCTCATCAGTCAACATTTCACTGGATGGGACCCAAAGTTCAAGTCTATCAAGATCCTTTTGAATGTTGACTTGTCTTCTGGGGTATTGGCATCCCTCTCCGCAGCTTTGTGGCATCAGTAGATTTTATCAATATCCCTTCTATTCTATCATCTAGATAATTTGTGAAGATATTGAAAATTATTGGGATTGGGACTGAAGCTCAGGTACTCTACTGCATACCATTCTCCATGTATATATAGATCCTGTCCCACCAAGTTGCAGTTATACCTACACTGTCATCGTATACTAGGATTAAATTCTTCCTGTTCTTTGCCCATACTCTGTGAATTCTATAAGCCTCTGAGTCTTTTAATAATGTCCTCCTTAAATTTCTGTGCAGCATCTCTTGGTGTATTCTTGAGTACCCCTTTCTTTCCACTTATCATTTCCTTGTTATAAGGTTTACTGTTTTGGATCTTGTTTTGGGCAGGATGGACAATTTATTTAACCAAGAGGCCATATGAGAAACTGAGACTCTTGTGCAGGATCACTGCCATCCCACTGCCCTGCTGCCCCACCTCCTCTGCCCTGCCCTGCCATTACCTGCAGACCAAACAGGGATAGTTGAAGGTCTGGATATGGCATATGGGCCATAAAATGTCCATGTCTGGTTTGGGGTGTGATTTTAAGTAATGAGCATCCTCTCCCTCCAGATTTAGTTTAAAGACCTGCAAATAACTTTATCAAGATGTCTCACCAAGCTATTTTTCCCAGACTTTTATGAGATGCAGCCCATCTGTTGCCACAAGGTCTTCTTGTTCACACATCCAATTTTCATTAATAATAGAAAAATCCTGACTCACAAGTAAATAAATTGCAAAATTAATCACAGTGATAAATCGTTTGGTACTGTAACAGGTTATTTATATGCATAGACTAGACTTCTCTAATAGCATTGTTACAAAGTATAAACATGTTAAAACCCACCTAGATCAGTCTCACTTAATGAATACTTCAATTATACATCAGCTTTGCAAAGCACTTGCAGCTGTTGGCTACCATAAATCTACTTTTCTTTCCATTCATGTTTGAATAGAGATGTATTAGGAAAAGGATAATACCAGGTTTATAGGTGTTTAGCATTATAATATTGCATAGAAAGTTACTATAGAGTTGAAAATCTGTACATGATCAGATGCCAAATTTGATGCTTTGATGATATTTGGCTTTTTGGAAAACATTTCGTAATAGATTTGCTGCTCTGTTTAATGTTCAAAAATTACTGTGATTGATCCTTGGAAATCTTTTAAAAGTTGCTCTTAGCTCCCATTCTCTCCACATTTATAAAAGGCGTTAGGACCTCCTTTTTCTAAATCATTTGAACTGCACTGATTGTTTCAGTTTAGTTAAGCAATTGAAATTATTATTCTTGTTACCTAACTTTAAGCAGTTCATGGATGGAATGGTGGGGAAATACATTTACAGTACCATGCTAAAAAGGCCATCCATCTATTGTTGATTTGGTTCAGCATTGAAGCACACACTCATAGCACCTTTTCATTCACCAAGCTATCAAATAGAATCTGTGTAATTCTGATTTTGTACAAATTACTAGAGCTGTACAAAATCTCCAGAACAGCAGCTTTGGGATGCTCAACAGCATGTAGAAAACATATCTTCTTCAATAAATCAGTCACTTTTTTCCCCAGGCATGTGCACTGTTGTGGAAGATTTTGGCTGTCTGCCCATGGGCATTTTTCCAGCCTTAGGAACACCACACTGCAACCTAGCACAAATATTGTAGAATCCCATTTATGTAGAAAATGAATTCTATAGTTTCATTGGGTTGGGTCATGTCACCTCTGGCCAACCCAGTAAATATTTCAGTAGCGAATAGTGAACTGAAGTTACCTCTACACAACAGGATGTTTATTTATTTATGTTTATTTTTATCCCACCCTTATTTTGATAAATAACTCAAGGTGATGAACATATCTAATACTTCCTCCTCCTCCTGCAATAACAACCTGTGAGATGTGTTGGACTGAGTGACTGGCCCAAGATCACCCATCTGGCATTCATGCTTAAAATGGGATTTGAACTTACCATCTCCTGGTTTCTAGCCTGGTGCCTTCACCACTAGACCAAACTGCCTCTTCAATCAATAAAAAAAATCAATTTTATGTACCTCTAAAAGGCCTTAAAGCAAATGACCAATATAATTTAAACCTAATATTAGATAAAACAGTTTAACAAATAAGACGCTTAATAAATATTATATAATACACTTAAAACCCTAATTGATTTCTTATTAAAAGCATTATTTTTATAGCCATAGTTAAAAATATGGCTGTTGTCACTCTAGTTTTAGGATTTTCATCTGCAAATAAAATTTTTCCATACTCAGAAGTATCTCTTCCTGGACTTTAAAGTAGGCCAAATAACTTCCTGCGGAAGGATTTTATAAAAATCACAATATAATAAAATATAAAATATAATACAAGATCAGTTTTCTTACTGGGACAAAAATCTTTTGAGATGGATTTTTAAAAAATCTACCAGATAGCAGATTTGATGGCAACACATCAAAATTGTGGCATTTGAAAAGATTATTTTGTATTTACTTACTTATAAGCTACTTAGATATTTACAGAGTTGAAAAATATATGTGTAGTTAATTCCAAAAATTACAGGTGTAGGCATGAAACTTAGGCTTTAGCCATTAATTCCTATACTAAATTATCCCAGCAACTTTGTTTTGATACAATGAAGTGCTCTGGACTTCATTATATCAAAACAATACCACTGGAAAGTAAATAATCAGGATCAATGCTAATTGACCAATTTTTTTGAGTAACTTGTTTAAACCACATATCTACAAAGGGTGCATTTGGCATTTCTTGAAGCAATCCTTCCTTGTTTTTAAAATATAGATTTGTCATCAAAACTTAATAGAGCTTAGCCAAGCCTTTGTTGTCAAAAGACATTTCCCAGTTTTGAAGAGAAGAATAGAATTTGTCCTACAACTTAGAACACTTAAAAGAGGTCTTAAAAAATTTACCAGCAAATGTGCTGTTTGTTGGTAAACAGCACATTTACTGCTTGCTGTGCTGTCATCAGTAAATGTGATCCATTGTTGCAGAAAAAATCTTCCCTTTTGAGTAAAAATATTGAAGCAAGGCTGTCATAATAGATTTTGGTTTTAGAAGTATTGTTTTGTTACAGGTTACAGCATGGCAAATGCGATGCCAAGTAACTAAAATTCTTTACTTCTGTTGTTATATGATCTTAAATTTTCCATATGTATTTTTAAACTTTTGGTTTTCAAAAGCCAAAAATTTTATGATTTCTAGATCATTGAGATGTTAAGTATTATAGAGTAAGATGCAAGAATTCAACCTTCTCTAACTCCCTCATTCTTTTTAATATTTAATTAATATTAATATTTTTAAAAACATTTTGATCAACAGGTATGTACCAAAAAGGACAAGGTGTATGAATTTAGCTGCCTAGGGTCCAAGCATATTTATAATTGGCAAACTAATCCTATTTTTTCCTGATTATCAAGCTTTTAACCCTTTATCTAGGTTTCCAATATAGTAAAGCCAATGCCTGATAAAATATAGTCAGAACAAACCTCAACTGGTTTATCACTGATCAAACAAAAAAGCATGACACAATCTTTTTGAGTAAAATATTTAAAACTTCATAAGTATATAATATTCAACAAAGCTAATTATATGTCCCTTTGAAGATTGCCTAGATTTGCATGATCTCTAGAGGTCAGAGTTATATCATTTCTGTATAGCGGGGGTCTCCAAACTTGTCAACTTTTAAGCCAGCTGAGGATTTCTGGGAATTGAAGCCCACAAGTCTTATTTAAAGTTGACAAGTTTGGAGACCCCTGCCCTAGGCCAGAGTTAAACTTACCATGGCTTGACACAAGTGGTGCTTCCTATGGAGATGTAATCATGGACAAAGAGTTGGATTAAGGCCATACGTTTGCTTAGCAGAAACTGATGCTTTTTTCCCTTTTGGTTGGATACCTGAGCAAACAGATGGATAAAATGAAAGAGTAAGGAAAATATCAGAAAATCAGGAGGGGAAAGGGAGGGAGCTGGGAGAGAGGCAGGCCCAGCACCATTCAGGCCCGCCTCTCTTGGCACGGAGAGACTTGCCTGGACTTTAATCTCGACGCTGCCACCCAGGGAAGCCCCGCCTGGTCAAAGAGCGGCACCGGGCAGCCCGAAGAGTTAGGTGCCCTTGGAAATTCAAAAGTTCAGCGGGGAGCGGCAGGGCTACCTTCGCCTCCTGATCAGTCTGTCAGGTAGGCAACTAGAGCCACGGGGCACGAGCTGAGCTCTCCTGAGCGGCGGGGGGGGGGACGGCGGCGGCGGGGGGGGGGCGAGAGAGCGCTCAGCCCTGTCTTGTGTCCCATCCCCAGGTGAGAACGGGACCGTCGGCGAGGCGAAGAAACGCTGCGGGGAGACGGAGCAGCCGCAGCAGGGAGAGGCTGCGGAGGGCAGCGGCGAGCGATCCCTGGCGATGGAACCGAGCGTGGCCCCCGAGGAAGGGCCGAACGCGCAGCTTCCCCTGCAGGCGCCCTGCAGCTTCAGCTCAGCGCTCTGCTTCAGCTCGTCCGGCGACGGCGGCGGCGATGACAAGGCTCCGCATCCGGAGGTCGACGCCGCCTCCCCTTCTTCCTCCTCGTCCGGCAGCTGCAGCAGCAGGAGCCGACGCGTGGTGAAGCACCAGTGGGACATTAACAACGCGACGCCCGAATCGGAGGAGGAGGAGGAGGGCAGCCGCGGCAGACCCTCGCCGGTCTCCTTGGGCGCTCCCGATCCGGTCGGCGAGCCGCCCCTCCAGCCTTTTCCTTCGCAGGCGCCGGCCGAGGAGCCGGACTTAGTGATCGAGGTGTCCGGGCGGCGGATCCGGGCGCACAAGGCGGTGCTGGCGGCCAAGAGCGACTATTTCCGCGCGCGCTCCTCGCGGGACATCCTGCGCGTCAAGGGGGTGAGCTACGGGGCGCTGCGCCTGCTGCTGGAGTACGTCTACACGGCGCGCATGGGCGAAGTGCGGCACGACAACCTGGCCGAGGTGGTGAGCGGCGCCCGCGTGCTCCAGATGCCCTGCGCCCTGCACTGCGCCGCCGAGGCCATGCGGGCCCAGCTCAGCCTCGACAACTGCTACCAGCTGCTCTGCCTGGCCAAGAAGCAGCGACTGGCCGAGCTGCGCGAAGCCGCCTTCCGCTTCATGAGCGACCACTACCTGCAGGTGCTCCGCGAGCCTGCCGTCTACGGGCGCCTCAGCGGAGCCGAGCGGGACCTCATCCTGCGGCGCCGCCTGGAGGCCGGCAAGGCCTGCCTGCTGGTGGCCGAAGTGAGCGACGCCTTCGAGAGGCTCAGCGCGAGCAGCCGCCCGCAGAGCCGCGAGAGCAGCCGCCCGCAGAGCCCGTCCTCGGTGGTGTCCCTAGAGGACGGCGGCGCCCTGCTCTACAGCTACCAAGAGGCGGCCCAGGAGTGGAGCGTTCTCACCCGCCTGCCCGAGGAGGCCAATGCCAAGGGCTGCGCCATGTGTGTCCTGTATAACTACCTTTTCTTAGCCGGCGGGATCGCCAGCGGCCCCGGCGACCAGCGGCCCAAGCTGTCGGACAAGGTGTTTTGCTACAACCCCTTAACTGATACCTGGAGCCAGGTGAAGCCCATGGGGCAGGCCCGCTCTCAGCTGAAGCTTCTGGCCCTGGACGGGTATCTCTACGCGGTGGGTGGGGAATGCCTTTTTACGGTGGAGAAGTACGACCCCCGGGCGGATCGGTGGACCCCTGTGGCCCCTTTGCCCAAGGGGGCTTTTGCTGTGGCTCACGAGGCGACCACATGCAACGGGGAGATCTACGTTTCTGGGGGCTCCCTTTTCTACCGGCTCCTCAAGTACGACCCCAAGCGGGACGAGTGGCAGGAGTGTCCTTACAACAGCAGCCGGCGCCGCTCGGCTGACATGGTGGCCTACAAGAGCTTCATTTATCGTTTTGACGTGAGCAGCAGTCGCGGGGAGCAAGGGCAGGGGGCTGGAGTGGAAGTCTTCCAGTACAATACGGTGGCCAAGCACTGGCGTCAATGCTCATCCTTCCGCCCCACCAGCAGCCCGGTTCAGCCCTTTCGCTGTGCCGCGTTGGGCAGCACCGTCTATTGTGTCAACCGGACTGGGATGCTGAGCTTCAACTTGGCTCAGAATGGCGAGGTGGAAGCGGACGGGGGACTTAAAGGCACCTTTGACACAGAACTGCTCAAAGCTCCCTTCGATGCTAAAGGTCTCCTCCTCCCATTTGTGCTTATTCTCCCAGAGAAGGAGAAAATGGGGGAGCCAGAGAGTCCTCTGTCGTTGTGAGAGCTGACCTGATGCTCAGTTCACTGCTTAGCATGCAGTTTGTCCCCTTTATCTGTGATGCCAACAGTGTAGGGCTTTTACTGAAGCATGGATGAGGGCTGGCACAAGCTCTCCAGTCTTGGGTGGTGATGATGGTTGGGCTCCAAAAGCAATAGAAGAAGTAGCAGAAGCTAATCCGAGGTGGAAAGGCAGCAGTATGTAACAACTCCTTTGAGGCTATAGGAGCAAAGAGGAGACCATTGTCAAAAATATCCTTAATTCATGCATGCACGCACCACCATGGGGGATTATTGTGTTCCACCTAAAAGTGTTGGCTAGCTGTTCAAAGGCTTCTTTACGGCACTTCATGTAGGAAAGAATTCATCTCTTGGCACTCATGTCAACCAGCCAGTGAAAAGCTGCTAAAACATTTAATTGTTGTAAATGTATCTGCATTCCTTTCCAATCTAGAAGTATGTTGGATCTGTGTAAAAACCAGGAAACAGTCCATTTTTTAAAAAAGAATTTCAGTTATGGCAATGTTCCCTTTGTACATAGTCATCTTCGAAAAAAGATTCTTCCAGGCACTGTCTGCTTGGTCTTCTTGCCCTTGGATGCAAGAAAGGAGCCACTGGAGAACTAGGAGCATATAATGTGGGAAGAGATCTGTAGGCCATTTTGGAAGTTTAATAGGCAAAAAAACAAAGTTCTTGTATGAAAAAGCAATAGGTGATCATCCATGTCATAATCTTTTCTGGTTTGCATTTTTAAGTTTAATAAAATCTTTGGTGAAGACATGGTATTGTGCAGCCTCAGGAAGTTGCAACAATTGTGCATGATTTGACAGAAGCAAAACTTAAGGTTTGAAACAAATAACATTTCTCCCATTTGTATATGTTGGAAAAAGAAGGAAAATGGTGGGGAAAAAGCACCAATATATCTGTTCTGGTTTTTTTTTTTAATGTGCAACTTTTTTTTAGACAAAATCAGAAATATATATTATCAGTTTTAGTCTTAACATACATTTGTGTTTTTTAAACATAGTTTTGCACTGTAATTTGCATATTCAAATATTTACAAATTGTCAGGAATGAACATATCGATGAAATTTCATTAAGGGAGATTTTTGTTTGCATAAGATTACTATTACTATCTTCTGCAGATCAGTATCCATCAAGGTAAACCAACTGTGGCTTTACTCAAAATGTATTGAAAGACTTCACTTTTTTGTCCAGAATCTTTTAAGAATTTGTTCTTCTGCTACTCAGATAAGAAAATGAATAATTTTTAAGGCAACTGATTTCCGTTTTACACTGATAGTTTGCTGGATTGTAAATGAGACTGGTTTTATTTTAGTTAATAATTTACTTGTCAAGTTCATTATATATAGAGGTCATATCCTTTTTATTCTTAAATCCTTTGTTGAGTCATTGCTTACTAAGCAGCCTGTTTTGAAAAGGAAAGCATCAACTTTCATACTTGTAGGCATCTAGAACAGAAATATTTTCAGTTAATTTATCTTTATTTAATTCTATCTGCTGCCTTCCAAAATGCTGCCACAATGATTTTTTCAAATTATGAGTGGCACAGCTGACACTTCATATCAATCATCGATTGGACTCACGTGCCATGTTGAGCCACAAATTGACTAATCATGGTTAGTTGACTTAAATAAAATATTGGTTGGTTCACAGATCACACTAAGAGTGGTGTGAAGATTGTAATGGTTAGGTTGACATATCATGATAAGCCAGAACCAAGCAATTCATGTCATAAGCTAGTACATTCTGTTTTTATTTTTTATAATAAAGAAAAAATCACAACCCAAACCAAAAATTATATAAACACACAAAAGGAAATAACTTAGTTATTAAATTGAACTTTGATTACACAAAGATGTATTATATCTGACTTTATGCCAATACAGGTAGTCCTCGACTTATGACCACAATTTAACCTAACATTTCTGTTGCTAAGCAAGACAGTTGATCGAATTTTGCCCCATTTTACAACCTTTCTACCTCAGTTATCAAGTGAATCACTGCAGTTGTCAAGTTAGTCATAGGGTTAAGTAAATCAGGCTTCCCCATTGATTTTGCTTGTTAGAAGGTCTCCAAAGGTGATTACGTGACCGTGGGACACTGCAACCGTCGTAAATACATGCCAGATGTACCGTATATGCCGGCGTATTAGGCGACCCGGCGTATAAGACGACCCCCGTCTTTATAGCCGGGCCGCATTCCTAGAACGTCGTCTTATACGCCGGAAACTACCAGTATTTCCGGCGTATAAGACGACTTGGCGTATAAGACGACCCCCGTCTTTGGTGCCGATTTCAGCGCTCGCGGAAGTCGTCTTATACGCTGGCATTTACGGTAAGTGTGAAAAATGGTGAGAAGTAACTTTTTCAGTGCCATTGTAACTTTGAAGGGTCACTCAAGAAATGGTTGTAAATCGAGGACCAGCTGTATAGGATAAGTTTAAATAAGTGTGCTGCTCCAGTCCAGGTTTAAAACTGGCTGGATAGTGTCTTTCCACAGGAAGAAAACCATTTATTTTTGCCTGATAAATTCAGTTTTTCATACATTGTTGAATTCCGTATTTTGGATAGTTGTTTAAACATTACCTTTAAAAGCTTTGAATCTTACTTTTCTTTCTAATGCTCTATTGAGATATTTATTAATACTAAACCAAAAAGGGATCATTGCAGGTCCATTAAACATGTGCCGGTATCTCTTCCACGGTTTTAAGATCCAACATACAGAGAATGAAATCCAGCTGTTGCTTAACATGATTGAGTGTGTCTCCACAGCTGATTTTGAAAGTCCCCTCTGATTCATAAGCAGCCCTGAGCTTGGAGGAAAAATCTTGCTGGCTTGGGAGCAAACCCCCTCTCCCCTGCCACATACACATAACAAGGAAGTAACAATATGTGTTGCATTGTTGCAATACAAACTCAGCTCCTTAGGTATTTTGCTAGCATGAAAAGGCAGAGCTTGCCTTTTAATGCCATTAAACATGGACCACTCTGTTGGGGTCATTGTGATTAGGAATCCCTGTGCATTCTCCCATCTAGAGTATTGTTAAGGAATTTTGTGGACTTTATTGTGTAGGTGTTCATCACAAACTGCCCAAACTTGTGTTTCCAAAAGGGTTTCACAAAAACTGATTAATCCCGTTTTTTAAAAAGTGAAAAATTTAGTTCTTAAATCTGTATTTTAATCTACCTTTCTTGAGATAGGATGAAAAACAGATTTAAGAACCTCATTTCTCTCTTTATTTTTATCCAGGTGCAGTTTGGCTAGAAGGAGATGGAGGAGCTCAGCCCTAGAGGGTTGTTTTGAACTAATATTTTTTTCCTCTCAGCTCATGCTAAATATATAAACATACTCATTTTAAATCTTTAACTATTAATTCTGCTATCCAGCTCTTAAGCCCTCAAATGAAAGCTTGCTAAAAGATTGAATTTATTTTAGCCATAGAGTGTCCTACAAAATTGACTATTTTATATAGCATATTAACTGGAAAAAAAATGATTTTAGGGTTGGAGTGTTGCACCTGCAGTATTGACATATGATTTTTTTTGGGTATTCTTCATCTTCTAGTCACTGGGACCTTCATCAACATGCAATACAGTGGAACATTAGAGGTGTGAGAAATCTTTCAGTACTTCTCACATTCTTATTTTGCAGTCCCCAAGGCTCAAGGGTGGATGGAAGTTTATGCATAATTCTGAAGATCTATCAATCAATCAATCAGAATAGAGCTGGAAGGGACCTTGGACCTTCTGATCCAATCCCCTGCTTAAGCGAGAGACCCTACCATTCCAGACAAATGGCTGTCTAGTCTCTTCTTAAAATAAAAGTCTCCAGTGATGGAGCACCCATCTGGAGGCAAGTTGTTCCAATGGTTAAGTGTTCTCATTGTCAGGAAATTTCTCCTTAGTTCCAGGTTGCTTCTCTCCAGTGCTTTTTTTCTTAAAAAAAAAAAAAAAGGTGCTGGAACTCACACACGACATACAACCCGCCTTGCCAATCCAATAAGGTTCCATCCAAAGAAGGTGCTGGAACTCCGTTCTGGATGTTCTATGAGAAAAAAAGCCCTGCTTCTCTCCTTGATTAAACGTGTGGGCATTTCTTGCACCGTTTCCATCCATTGTTTCTTTTCTTTCCTTCTGGTGCTTTGGAAAATAGGTTGATCTTCTCTTGTCTGTGGCAGCTCTTCAGATACTGGATCACTGCTATCATGTCACTCCTAGTCCTTCTTTTCTCCAGAATAGCCATACCCAGTTCTATAAAACCCAGGTTTTATAGTAAGAAGGAGAGAACAGGGAGATGGGATGGGAATCTTACCATAATTTCAGCATATGGGAGGGGGGGGAACTACAATGCATAAACAGTGTTAGTTCCAAGATCTTTACTTATGGTAATTTGATACAGATTTGACCATGAAGTTGGAAGGAGCTATTTAAAGCATATAATTTAATTTCAGAGAAGGCCTGTAGAAAATATCTGATTAAAATACTTTTTACAGGATGCCAACTTTACAATTTATTGTTTCCAAAGGAAGCCAGTAATTCCTGTAATGAGACATATTAGGAGTGAAAATCAAAATATTAATTTATATCCACTTTGGTTTTTTAATAATAAATCACTTTTAAAATTGGTATCACTGTTGCGAAATATTTAGAAGCATAGGTTTATTTTTTTAAAAAACAAATATGGCAAGGTATCTGTTAAAACTGGTGAATGTGAAATTTAAAACTTCAAGTGAGCATTTTCTAAGATGATTATTACTTATATTTTCTCAGCATACTCAAGTTTAGAATCAAGCCATGACAAGCATTGAGTAACAAGTTTGCTTGTTTACTGGTTAGATTTTAGATTTCCTCATGGAAACAACATGGTTTTACTCACAATCTTTCTCCTTTATTAAACCAATCATCTAATAAATAAATACATAAATAAAGTGCATGTTAGACTATAGTGAAACTTATCAAGATTTACTCTGATGATTTAGTTATATTCCTCGGGTTCTTTTTAATGATGATCCAGTCTGCAGGGTTCTCTGCTTCCTTCTCACCCTTATCTTGATAACCCTTCCTGGTTTTAACGCAATGAGGAGGTGGGAAGCTTAACTTTATTTCCAACTAAGTTTAAATGACCTCTTGGAAAATGCCCACAAATTTTACATCAAGAGTGCTCGTATTACATCTGTCAGGGAAAAAAAGGATGGCTTTGTATCTATAGAGGCATCTCTTTCAATTTAAATGATCTGAATTAACTCTGATATTATTCCATACACAAATAAAAGAAGTACGTCCAAATAAGCTGAATTCTGCTTTGTTGCACATTTCAAGGAACAAATGATGAAATACAGTTTCCTGTATTTCAACATTTTGTTTGAGACAGCAATTTTATAAACTTTTTACCACGAACAAGCTAAACCTTCCACTTATATTTTACCCATTTAACTGGATAGTAGGTTTTAATGCTGTAAAAAGTCATTGCAACTATTTCATTTCATTATTACCCTAATTGCTTCATGAGGGTTCCTTAATGTATCTCCTCTGCCTGCTAATTGTCTTGCTGTATGTCTTCCCAAAGGGTTTGGAGTAATTTGATACAGAGAATGCTGGCTTTCATCCTATTAAGCAATTTCTATTACTGCAGTAAGATTTCCTATTTCTTTCCTCTGTGGTATTCTATGTTCCAGATTTGCTCGTTGGCCCTTCAAAACTAGCTTCAGAACAAATTTGAGAGTGAAGAGTGGGAGGTAGAGTGAAAGTACATGTAGT